CGGACTTTTCGCCATACTGTTCCACCGCCATCCTTCCCATCGTGGTAACTGAGTCACTGAATACAAGTGTCAGAGTGTGTGTGTGTGTGTGCAAGCTACAGAGGGTGGCCAATGTTGGAATCGTGATTGACGCCGGTGTACATACTGTAATTAATGCCTCCCCTGAGGTGCAGAATGCCGAGCAGGACAAGGCATGGTGGATATCAGTTTGATTTTTGGAGGTGAACTGTCAGTGGCTTCTCGGAAGGCAGAGGGGGTGGCGCTCTTTCAATCTGGGCAGTACTTCAAGTCCTACCAGGCTACAAGTGTAGATTGTGGTTTTAATGCCGTTCATCGTTCATCGTGTATCTAGGCAAGATTGGGGGGTGTCACACGTAAGGTATGGCGACGCAGCATCGACGCTTTGGAAGCCATCGAGCTAAATGAGGAGGTTCGGAAGTGCACGGTATGGAGTAAATGGTGAACACCAGAAAAGGACACACAAGAACGGAACTGCGCCCTTCCAAAAGCATGCATGAAGGACGAAGCGCCCAAAGACATTTTGCTATGGTGGCTAAATGTGTGAGCTGGATCGACTTGCTCTCCGAACTTTTTGCGAAAAGTCGAAAAGTGCACGAAAAGGGAACGATGATAAAAAGAGTCACCCGCCAAAAGGTCCCGGGGCTTGCCGGGTCCTTTTGGCGGGCGTCTCTTTTTGAAGGTCATCGGGGCTGCGTGTTTTGACCTCCAGATCCTCTCTCCGTCTGTAGGAGCAAAAGCAACGTTTGGATCAATTCTGCTAGACTTTTGTTGAAGGGCACGCCATGTGACTGGTGTCCAAAAATCTCGAAAAGTCGAAAAGTATCGAAAAGTCGAACAGTCTCGCTGCGTGCTTTCGTTTGCTTTACCTTTGTGACTTTTTGAATCTTTTTGATATTTATCGCTTTTTGACTTTTTGACTTTTCTCACTTTTTGACTTTTTGACTGTTCTCACTTTTTGACTTTTCTCACTTTTTGACTTTTTGCTTTTTGCTTGGTGTCTTGCAAATAGATCGTCGCTAAAGGATTTAGCGAGCTTAGCGACATTTGCGGGCTTTGTGTTTTGCAACTCCAGGATCAGAATGCTGTTACGGTTTCTCCTGCTCTCTGGCCTGTAGAGGAGAGCAGAAAGGTGTTCGTTGCCTTGTGCTCCAATGCGGCTCAGGCATGAGTCACTCAAAGATGGACTGCTTGTTCAGACTGCGTCAAACGCAAGAATTATTCCTCGGTGCAGGCGCTCTTGAAATGTCCCGAAGTGGAGGGTGCTGCGACAGAGATGGCCGCATCCATGGCCGACAAGGCGGACAGCGGATGCTCCAGCGGTGGGTTTGGACCAAGTAGCAAGCCTGCAGAAGAGCCACAGCGACAGCATTCCACTCGAAGATGTAGCTCTTTCCTGTTCAGCCATGCATGAATTGATTTCATTGCCTTGTTGAGGCAACTCGTTCGTGTCATTGAAGCAAACTGACGCCTTTTAAATCTCAAGGGGAGGGTGGTTCTTCAAACCTAGAACCCTTGTTTGCCATCCTCCTCACAATGCCCGCTGGCTGCAAATCTGGGCGGCACCATGAACTCTTTGTAGAGAGAGAGAGAGAGAGAGAGCGAGGAAGAGGTGAGCGGGCGAGCGCCATTCATGAAGACCTCGGTGGATGTAATGTAGTGTAATGTATATGCAATGTAATGTGGTGTAATGTAATGTAGTAGTGTAATGTAAAGTAATGCGATCTAATGTAATTTCGATCAACCGAATGCAGTTGGGTTTCAATTTTTTGGGGCAGGAATGGTGCATAGCTTCACTAGCGCCCGGGATCCGGAATTCCTTGCTGGAACCATGGGTGCTATCGTGTTGGAACCGTTGCTTGTAACCCTGGGTGCTGTCAGGCGCCACCCCGGGACCGTGTGGTGCTTTTGCACGCCTCCAACCTTACCTTCCAACATTGGGTGCTGTTAGGTCAACTGTTAGGTGCTGTGTTCTTGGAAATCATAAATACTTGTACTAGAGCTGTGGGTGCTGTTTGTCAGGTGGTTTCTGCGCCGGCACAAGGTTATGGTAGGCTGAACCCAAAGCCTGGTGGGGGAGAGCGAAAAAGAAGCGAGGGCCCACAAGGTAGTGAACACGTATGTTTTAGGGGGTCTTGGTGATGAGAGCATTATGAAGTGCTCACGAGACTATTTAGATTGTTAATTTACCAGGGGGTAGAGGAGGAAAGGGGGAACTGCGTGACAGGAAATGCAACAAACAAGGTCATGACGAGGCTAACCAGGTGTGTCCAACCAGTTAGGGGACAGCGTCCCGCAACTCACAGGCCTCACCTTTGCCATCAGATATTATTGAGATAAACTCACCAGGTTTGTGAGTCCAGGTGCAGGACAGGAGAGGGACACAGAATACATCCAAGCAAGCACCCCTCAGTGACTCAGTTGCCCTTTTCCAGCGTGAGAACGGCCTTCAACCAAAAGAAGAAGGGCACCCCCCCCAGAACTGTGAACCCTTTGTACCTTTGTACTGAAGCATGGGTTCCAATTCTATCCTATAACCACTAGCAGTGAATGTGGGTTGATCAAGGCCTTGTGTGTATAGACCTTATCATATCGACGTTCAATGCGAAACTTTGCGCCTCTCTGCGCTCTACCCTCCCGTGGCCAACAGAAGTAGAGGTCACTGCCAGTGCAATTTGGACTTCACGCTAGAACAATTACATATATATATATGTATACATTGTTGCAGAGGCTGGTTTTCGTCCCCTCCCTGCTCAGGTATCTACATTTTTACACGTCTATCTACTTGCTGATCCATTTACCTATCTATGTGTCGGTCGATGTCGATCCATCGGTCCATCATGGCCCATCTATTTATCCATCTGTCCATCTACCCATCTCTATCTACCTACCTCTCTGTGTATCTGTCTAGCTATGTACACCCGTAGACTTAAACGAAAAAGAGTTTTTGCAGATGGTGTCGGCTATGGTGTTTTTGGCCTGGGTGCCAAGGACTCGCTTAATGAAGCTGGCCAGTGGCTCAGTGTGAAAGGTGACGTGTTTTCCATTTTTGGAGAGCATGATCGGGTTTGGATGCGCAGCTGGGGTGTTCCTCAATGGACTGAAACCCAAACCACATTTTGTGCTGCTTTCGGCTCGAGCTGCAAGATCCGGAAAGTTCGTCTTCACTGGGAAGCAGGTGTTTGCCAGCGAGGGTGTGGGACGAAAGGTGCTGAATTGATTCAACGGTGTTTTAGTTGATCGCCCCCCCACCTCCCGCAAGGGGAGTTGGTATTATTGGAGGGGGGTTTGGTCATGGAAGTGCGTGCAACAGCGATCACATTTCTCTAGATGCGCAGCAGGACATGGAGGAAAGAACAAAACGAGAACAAGGCGCGCAACTTCAAGTTTGCTCCTTTTGTAGCTGACGCTACG